ATGTCTGGCAGGACAGACTGGGTGACGAGCTGCCTTGTCTGGCATGACAGACTGCGTGACAAAGTGACATGTATGGCAGGACAGACTAGGTGACGAGCTGCCTTGTCTGGCATGGTAAACTGCGTGACAAGGTGACTAGCCCAGCAAGACAGACTTGGCGACCAGGTGACCTGGGACAAACTGCACGACGGTGCTGTCGAAATGGCAAGACGAGAGCGCCGAGCCTAGCAAGGCCAAGAACACTACTTAGCGGTAAAGACAAATTCGTAATGGAGAAGTGGGTTTGCAGAAACATGAAGCCCATGACGAAGTGCAGCCCGTGATGGACGAGGTGGGCCGAGCCCAAGGCATGACGAGGTGGGCCGAGTAGGTCGGCGCAGTCCACTAGGAGTGGTCGACTTCATGAAAAGGAAACTTTTAAAGGATAAGGAAAGCTTCCTATTTTCTCTAGGGTTACCTAGCCGACCTAGTCTGCTATAAATATTAATGTAACTCCCTCAAAAAGGGGATCGGCAATTCATTACACCGAAACTCTTGTATTCTTAAGTTTTGACAGAAACAGCAATAAGAATCATCTTCAATCCTTTGTGTTTGTGATTCGTACTTGGAAGACTCAATCCTCTTAAAACTCTTGACAAATCTAACTATGCAGGTTCTACCATCCCCAATTTGGCGCCGTCTAAGGGAAAACACAGATCTTCTTACTCGAAGGAATCACCCCACAAGCGACCTAGAAGATGACCATCGAACGCATCGACAACGTTGATGGCGACAGACGCATCGTCCACACCGCTGGCAATCGCTCGACGACACCGCTGGCAACCGCGTCGACGACACCGTTGACAATCTTGGCGATAAGGAGATCCAAACCGATCTCACTGGGAACACTACGCAGAATGACAACCGAGCTGCAACAGATGCAAGGCTTGAATTAGAAGTGTTAAATCAAATCAAGGCGGCGATGGACGCGATGCTAAAGAGGCAGAAGAACCAAGACAAGTTCAACTCCGCAGTGACCGAGAGACTCGACATCCTCACCACGGCAAGCCGCGGCCGAGGCCAGGAGGGCGACTCGCCCCAACCGCCCTCTTCTCAATGCCAGATGACGCACCTAGAACTCGAACCTTCCTGCCATTCTACACCACCTCGGAGACGGGCGAGGGGAGTCAAGCAAGACGGGCTAACTTACCTCCGGAGCAGGATGCGCAGACCGCAGACAGACTACCACCGGTCGTTAACCTCGACGAGGATGTGACAACCAAGGCCAACCAGGCAAGGCGTGCAGACACTGGACGCACCGATGCACACCGAGCCAGGACAACTCGAGGCGGCGAGAAGACCGAACACAACAACATCAGCGACGAAGATCTCCTTTGGATTCGACAACTTGCCGATCAACGTGACGAGGCGCTGCACGCCCAGAAAGCAGAGATAGCTGAGATGCGCACGAAGATGGAACGAGCCGTCGAG